CCCGCTCGGCAGGCAGGCGCAGACACGGCACTGGGAAACGAATCCAAGACACTTTGTAAAACTCTTTTCAGCGTTGGACTCCCACCTGGTTGACTATAGTTCAAGTCCTAGACCCGGCAACTTGAAACTCACGCCAGGTGCGTGTGCACGCATGTCCAAAATCCCGAGAGAACGGAGGAGAAGGGGTGGCGGAATGGCCATCCCTCCTGGAGGGGGTGATTTCTCTCTCCCTCTCTCTCCCTCTCTCTCCCCCTCTCTCTCCCTGTGTCTCTGGTGAGTGCACACACTCTATAGCAAAAAACCTTTTGGTTATTTTTTTTTTAAAAGCTGTTTTCTACTCTAAAATTCTACGATTCTGTGAGAACCGAGGAGGAAGACCGCGAGTGCTGATGCAAAGGTACCAAGGAAGCCGAATACACCACACGCCTCTCCCCTGCTCAGGTTGTAAGAGAGTAAGAGGCAGAGAGCTGGAGTCACACACCGTCTTCATGAGCACCTGTGGGGACCCAGGCTTGGAGTGGGAACAGCAGGTACAGAGCCTCAGTTCAGGTCACCAGGGCACGTAAGGCCTAAGGCCGGTTCCTTCCCAAGAGGGACAAGGGACCCAGTTTATTATCCCCAGTTTTCTGATCAGGTATAGAAGGAGGCCCGGGAGTATGAAGAGGTGGAAAGAGACGCGAAAGGTCTAGAGAGAAGCTCTCTCCCAGAAGCACGAAGGCCTTGCTAGTAATGGCAGTGAACTAACATCTACGGAAGACGCTGGGCTGTGGGCTTTCATTTTTAATGCTTATTTGGCCATCACATAATGCCACGCCTATTTTAAAAATAAGAAACCAAGGCCGCTGAGAAGGTAAGTTATTTGCCCAGCACCATGGAGGAGACGAGGGGACTTGAACCCTGGCTGCCCCACACCAGAGGCTGAGCCCCATGTGGCTGGAAGGGGCGAAAGGACGGCATCTTGCACCTGGCCCTCGAGGTGCCTGAGCCGCCATGAGCGTGAAGGGCAGGAGTGGTGTTAGCGAGAGCTCTGCAGACTCGGCTTCCCAGCCCCGCCAGCACCGCTCGTGGCACTGACATGCGACCAGGCAGCTGCCCTGCAGGCTCCCACGCAGACTCACGCTTCACTTTCCGAACCCACGCAGGGTTGAGTCGTGAACCCTGTTTAAGGAGACGCAAAGCAGCATCCAAACCACCACCAGCCTCCACCAGGTGTGCCGACTCTGTCCCTGCAGGGGGAGGACAGTCATGGCCTACAGTGGCGTGGTGAGAGCAGGAGCCCAAGCGGACACTGGCCGGCTGGAACTGGCTCCAGAATGGCTCAAGGTCGGGCGGCTCCAGAGCGGCAGCACCCAGCCCTTCCGCCTGGCCTTCTCCCTTACCGCCTCACCCCTTCCCCTCGCGATGTGCACCTTACCGTTCTCACTTCCTTATTGCTTCTGAGAAAGAGAGCCCCCAGCAGGGGTTTCAGCTGGCCCAGTGTCCTCAGGGAGGTCCCAGACATGAACCCATGACCTCTCCCATGTCCCACTGCTGCTGTGCAAGCATCCTTCATGACTTTTAATCTGTGTTTTGTATTTTGAAATAAAAGAGGGTATGCGGAAGAGCTTCTAATTTCTGCACCCAAAACTTCAAGGTCCTGACGGACAGGAGGATCAGTCAGGGAGGAAGGCTATGGCAGAGGGCTGCTGACGCCAGCCTCCCGGGTCCGACTGCTGCCGGTCCCTTCACCACGGCTAAGCCCACACTGGGCAGCAAG